GGCTTCAGGACAGAGGCCTAATTTGCTCAACTGACTTATGCCCTGCATAACCTCATTGACTTCAATGACATTACATGGGGTTTAACTCAGCAACAAATAAGGTCCAGAAAGGTTTTTCATAAATGATGCCATTCTTGGATGTGAATCTTGGCATAATAGTTTCTCTGTTCTCTTTTTATAGACCATCAGATCCAAGATAGCTGAATAGTTGCATCTCTAGTAGGTTGAAATGGTAAAGCTTTTCTTCTAATACAGTTCACTAGTTTACTATCTTCTAAAACACCTCAAGTTCACTAAACTCTCACAAAGTGCAGCAAACAAACTGTATCACAAACTGTGCTTACAACTGATCTTTTAATTGTATTCAGTTGCATCCCTTAAATGTCTAGGGAACTCCTCTGATATGTAAGTAAATCCTACAGCATTTCATTAGATGAGCTGGTTGATTAAAAGAGTGCCTTAAAGCTAGAAATCATTCTGTTCTAAATACAAATGGAAGTTTGTTTCCCATGAGACAATCAGAGTTCATAAAATAAACCTCCCCTTCTCCCGCATTAATCCAACCCTTTGCTTGGTAGACATACTAATTTTGTTTTAATTTGAACACCACGTTAGACTTTTTGTTGATTTTTCCCCCTCTTTTTTTAACCAAGCAATTTATCAGTTCTGATCCAATGATAGCCGTTCAAGATTTATCTTCTAATTGCATCATCATCAGAGGGCACACACTCAGAGCTGCAGTTCAGAATCAAAAGTGGCAGTTTTTACTTTGAGTATGCTCAATGGCCTGAGCTCATGGCGACCACTGAGACCCCTGGGATGAAGAATAAAGAATATGCTTCTTGGGTGGACCAAGACTTCCTGTAGGAAGAGTACAGCTCACCTATGCATGTAACAAAGATTTCCTGGGGACCAGTCATCTAAAGTTATTAATGAATTCCCACATGGATGAAGGGGTCTCCCAAAATTTACCACCTCTGTTACGGTGCAAGATGCATTTCTTTGACCTTGTTTCTCTCAGAAAAAACATGCTACAATTTACCTATATACAGCACAAAATAAGTAAAATAATTTTCCAACAAAACACTTCACTGAAGACACTCCTCACCTGCAGAAGAAATTAGAGAAAAAAAACCAAACGAAAACAAATGAAACCAACCCAAATGATAGAGGTTAGTCACATAGCTTAATATATTCCTGGGAAACGCTCAAACACAGCAGTGCTGAATGCAGTATGAAAGTTACACAGAGGAGAGTCTTCCTGATTCAGTATCTCAGAAAGATTTCTGTCTTATGTGAGAAGGAAGTGAATGAGTCCTCAGAGATAAAGAAGGAGGCTGTCTCAGAAAATCAGTTTAAAACTAAGAAAGCTAGCTTGAAAACTCTTGTTGCTTTGCATCCTTTTTTCTTTATTATTTATTTATTTACTGACCTTTCTTTTATAAACCATGTAGCGATAAAAAGAAATAGGTGCAATGAACAGATCAGTTCTGGATCTCAGATCCATCCAGTTAGGTGTCTACATCTGTCCCGTTCACATTTTAATGCTGTAGAATGGGCCTCCAGAGGAGAAGGAACCATTAACGACACTCCTTCTCGGAGTAATTAGCAAATGCCTGTTTTTATGAACATAATTTTCCACAGCTTGAAAGAATTGTCTCTTTACAACTTTCCCTGATGTGTCCATATGAAAGTATAAATAAGCCCTGCTCTTTCTAAAAGTGACACATTACCTATCCCTGCACCAGCTCCCTGGGTGTTACTTTGATGGCATCTGATGACCATTTCTATATACAGTGATCTCAAACGTTTTTTTTTCCCAGTTTTTTTTTCTTCCATCTATAAACACCTTGATAAAACCATCATTCCTTCTCCTAAGGTAAAAACGAAGACTAAAATAAGTCAGCAATATAACAGCAGTACTGAAGGTTTGACAATGAGATTAATTATGGGATTAAGTGAATGCATTTTGTTGCCTTATTATAGCTGTATAAGGAAAAAAAAAAGAAAAAGAAAAGACAGAATATTTCCTACCCAAATCAGCAGCATCCTGTTACAGTGCTAGAGACTCTTAGGAAATCCCATGTTTTCTGTGAGTGTACTTCCAGACTTGCTCAAAATGTCAAGTGCTGTGATCAAACTTAATCAGAATTGGTATTGATCAAAATCCTGTCTTGCTAATTTTTCTCACTTATTTTATGGAGATGAATGTTTTCATATACTGCAAATAGCACCAGATTTGGGAAAAAGGCTATTATACAAAATCCTATCATTCCTGTTCAAGGCCCCCACCTTTCCCTCTTTTAAAGCAATATCTCCATAGATAATTATTAGGAGGTTTATTTATTAAACCAGACACCCGAAAGAAAAATATGACAGCAAGGAGAAGCAAAACCTAAAACTAGGTAAGATCTAGCTGGAATAAGGCAATGAGAAAAAGGCTCAAGATGAAGATGAATGAGTTCAGGGTTGTGGAAATAGTACATGATTGGCTTCAGTGAATGAGTGTGTTCTACTCTGTAACTGGACTTTGTCAGGAAAAAAAGGACTTTAGATTTAAAAACCGAAAAAACATTGTGTTTTTCTATGGAAAGATGTTATAGTATCTTCTGAAAGAGCTGAGGCTTGTGTATTTGCTTTCACTTTTGCAGGATTCTACAAACACTGTGATTTTAAGATCTCAGCAAAAAATGGGCTAGTTCAGGCAATAATAATGCAGAATTATATGGAGGTTAATTTTGGCCCTGGGAACTTTACATTACAAAGTGTCAATGTTACATGTCTACCCATGTGCAATTTAATCAGTTTTTTTAAGTTTACATGGGCTGTACATATAAAGCCTTTGTGATGCTGTGCATTTAAGGAACAGTGTTTCTTTAAAATAGATTTTTGGAAGCTGGCGATATATATAAATATATTATGAACAACTGAAAAACTGGAGAATTACTATCTAGAAAGCTTCCAGTGTATTGATTTTCAGAAAAAAAACCCCTCATTATTCAGCAGAAAAGGTGAGACAGAGGCTTTTCTCTTATATCTGTAGAATTAAGTCAGTGTCACGGGGGTTCTAAAGCTGCCCCCTGCAAAAACCTTTCAAGCATGATTCCACTGCCTGCAGCAGTGAGCATCAGTGAGTGAACATCATTGC